AAGGTTATGCTCATTTTTGCTAAAGCATCAACAATCTTTGGAGCTCAAGATGTTGAAAGATGCTTTTAGTCATTTGTAATCCCCATTAAACAAATTGCCTGCGCTATGCAAGGACCGACCTGCTGCTTCTACCGAACAAACTGCAGGCAATAAAACCAAGGAGGAGCCAAGCGAGTGAGAACCCCATGGCAGCACGGCTGAGCTGGCACAGCGACCTTGCACAGTTTGTTAAAATTATGTGCTTTTCATAAATTCATAAACACGCCAACTTCTGCTGTTTGTACAACACTTTGGAGCAGTCCCTTCCGTCGGGCTCTGTCTCTCCGAATGTCCTCTGCTGCCTTCATGCCAAGACAAGAAGAAACAATCGAGGATGGGAATGTTTGTGTGATCCTACAGCAATCCAGGTTGTTTCTGCTCTGAGACCCGTCCAGAAGACGGACAAAACAAAAGCCCAAAAATGAACTAAGCCGGAGGACAGCAGCCCTCTGCCCAAGCCCCCTGCACGAGCAGCTGGGAGGCGAGCAGAGGCAGCCACCCGTGCAGAGCCGCTGCTTCCATTTATAGCCACGCTCCCCTCGCCTCCACCGCAACGTCTTGGACAAGACGAGAGCGTCTGTGGGGCTGTTTGTTTGCTGGGGGAGCAAGGAACATGACTGGCCAGCTGTCAAGTTATCTGCTTTGGTCACAACAACGTTTGATCTTCCCCAAACAAGTTTATCTCCGACCCATCTCCACGCGGTTCCTCCGTCACGGTTTATGGCGCTGGCACCGTACGCAGCCTGTGGTGTCCTCCCAGCTGCAGGCCAACAGAAACATCTCAGGCAGGGACAGAGCTCTAGAAATAGTTCAGAAGAAAACTATTTCTTCGCGGCAGAAGGTTCATCACCATTGCCATCACTTCCCTCCCCCAGCCAAGACACAAAACGAGCGGCCGGGCCTTACTGCAAGAGATCAAAGCAAACCCTTTGTTTTTATCTCGGTCAAGATAATGGGTTTTATTTGCCTTATCAGCCTGCAGGATGATTAACCTAAATGTGAGAAAGCTTCAAGATGCCAGAGGAGCTCAAGGGTGGGGAGCATGTCCCAGAGCACAACTGCTGCAGGCTTCAGACGAGGCACAGAGCAGGCCCTCGCCCCGGCCTGCACGCGACGCCCGGCCATGGCTGCGGGCCCTGTGGCCACAGGCCATGGTGCTCACCCACGGGCTTGGGTGCAGCTCAGGAAGGGCCCTGCAGCCCCACGAGGCTCCAAGGCCACCGTGAGGAGCCCCATGGGACCCCATGGGCCTGCAGGGCCAACGCTCCGACCTGGTGCCCCCGGGGTACCGCTGGTCACCTTCTGCCTGCACTGGGAGGTTTTGACCTCTGCATGAACACGCTCAGCCTTACACGCTCCCTGCAGGTTTCTGGGAGCACTGATGTTGATGCACAACCTCGTCCTCGATGCACAATCCCATCCCCAGGCCCAAACCAGACTTGGAGGAGCCCTGTCAGGTCACTGCACGGGGCCACGAGCACCCCACGGCTCAGCACCCAGGGCTTCGTCCCATTCCCCTCTCAGGCAGGAGGAGCTGTCACATCTCCGATGGGAACCTCCTGCATCCCATAATGAATCCGGCTGCTGAGATCGCTGCTTTGATTACAGGCCCTCAGGGACCTGCAATGGGGCAGATGAACTCCCTGCTTGTATTTGACTCCAAGGCACAGCCCGCATCTCCTGCAGGTCTTGCACGGTGCAGGAGGCAGCAGCAGCAGCTCGGAGACTGCCCTGGCTCCCCCCTAGGTCACCTGAAGGCGTCCAGAGGAAACACAGCAATGGGCACACGAATGCTCACACTCACCCCGATGACCACAGCTGGACACGACGGCAGCTCACGCATTGTTAGTTTGGGAGCAGTGCTCACGGTGGGTAAGGACGCGCAGCAGAGTGCCAGCACATCCACATCCCCTGGCCCCTTTCCTGCCCCAAATACACCCCAAAACGAGCTGAGCTGTTCCCTGCACAGCCAAGGGGAAGAGAGCAGGGTGGGAAGGAGCAACCAGAAAGCTGCCAGCCCCCCGCTGCCCTCCCCGCACAGGCACACGGCCGTGCACGTGGCCTCGCGTGGCTGCCGGCATCCCTGCGAGGGGACACGAGCATCTCCCACGCATCGGGCTCCTCGCACGCCCTCCTTCCAAGTGGCTGGCGCGGCAGGGCTCCGTTTTTCCAGATTATCTCATTTCTGGCGCCTGCCCCGAGCACGCGGATTTGGGACTCTCTGCATTTCTCATTCAGAGCCTCCCCGTTTGGGATCTTGGGCTGGAGGCACTTTCCTGTTAAAAATAATAACAACAGAAAGAAAAAAAAAAAAAAAAAAAGGCTACCCGTAACGTAGCCCAAATGTGTCAGCTGGTTTTAAGGAAACGTTTCCCTACAGCTTTAATCTCTCCGTACAGTTAAATTGCTGTGCAGCTCAGGGAGCTGGAAATGATTACTCACTGTTTATGCACACAGGCCTGGCCTCTTTATTGTGGGCAGAGCCGTGCTCGTCGTCTCTGGATCTCTCCAAACCCCTTGCTCCAGCCCTGCTCTCATCCCTACAGAAGGGCACCAAAGGAAAGGTGCCCGAGGCTCTGCTACGAGCTGGGGGCTCGAGGCTCGCTGCAGGGTCCCCAGTTTTTGGCTACGTCCTCCCCAAGGAGAGCTGCGGCTAGCTAAGTCCTCTCCCTCTCTGCTCACTCTCACGGAGCCTCCAAGTGAAAAACAGCAAGTTCTGAAGACAAGGCTCGCCGTAGGGGTCCAGGGCTGGAAAAAAGAGTGGAAAAGTTGAGCTGCTTCGTTCTTCTGAAGTTGTCACGCTCTCTGCTGAAGAAGAGGAGCGGGGACCTCACTGCTATTTCAGGGACCCTGGCACCCACGTGGCTGTCCCAAAGGGACCGGGGGGGCAGCGGTGGGACAAGGCTCCAAAAAGCTGGAACCTCGGGCTCTTTGCAGCCAGTTTTACCCACAGACCACCACGGATCAGCAGAGCTGAGCTTTGTTCAGACTGACGGCTGGACAAACTCACTGCAGAGGACGGTCAGGCTCCTGTTTTGGGTGAAGGTTCCCATTACTCCCCATTACTCACCACATTTACCTCAATTCACCAACCCAAGCTGCAGAGCCTCCCTGCGAGGAAGGATCCCAGGGGGAACCACCATGGCCTTCCTGGCGTGCAGGAGCAGCGAGAGGGGCAAGGGGAGGCTCTGGCAGCAAAGCCACGGGCAGGGACAAAAAGGATCACATCAAATCATCAGGTCAAAGCGGCTTCCATTTCTCATCTGGGCTCACTTCTCATGTCACCAGCCTCAACCCCAACTACAAACAGGTCCAGGTCTGGGGGCAGCACAGATAGAGGATAAAGCTGACATGAAAGACACGAACCTTGCTGTGCACAGCGATGCCTTCCCCTCCCAACCATCACCAGTTTGCAAGACACAAAGAACAGCAAACGAGATCTCCTCCTGGACGAGTAAGCCACCGAAGCGATGCTTCACAAGCCCTCGAGTAACAACCCCAAACTTGCGAATCCTCCAACATGCCTCTGAAAACACGTTTCTAAGCCTGGCATTTACCCAACCTCTGGCACCCTGGCCAGGATTTCCAGGCCCCCTTCCCGAGGGACGGGCTGTGCCGCTCAGTGCCCCGCTGGGGCACGCGGCAGCCGAACAGGGGGCCCCTCGCCTGGTGCCCCCCCAAGGAGGGACACGGCTCTGGACAGCTCTGCAGCTCCCCCCTGAGCACAGGCACGGCTCTGTGTGCCTGCCTGGGTAGGCTGGACAGAGCACACGTACCCGGACACAGAGTTACGGGGTATTTTTAGAGCTCTCACATCCTCAGCTCAGTGACGGGAGGCACCAGTGGAAGGGGAGCTTCATCCAGACAGCAAAAGCATCTCCACCACTGCGGTCTCAGCCCCCCACTTAACGAGGCTCAGCTCTGATTGAGCCTCTGGCAGCAGCAGGGGGAGATGGAGAGATGCCACCCCCTGCCCAGCATCACCCCCCGGGCGGGCTCCTGTGCTGACCAGGGGGGAGAAGCAGCCAGGGCCCTTCCTGCTCCTGCAGCTCTGCTTCTGCCTCTTCTCGGCCGGATTTAGACTGAAAGCCCCTTTTGTGGCAGTGCCAGGCCGTCCTGCTCTGTAAGGCAGACCCCAGACAGCTGGGCTCTTTGGTAAAACTCATCCCCAGCAGCTGCCCTGGGTTTCTGGAGTCCTTTTTGATGCAAAGAGCCCTCCCTTTCCCCCCTGGGCAGCTGGGGCATTCAGCAGCTGAGATGGTTTCCTGCTCTTAAAGCGCCCAACTGCCTGCAGCCCTGAGCCCAGAGAGCTCCCCGAAACCCGAACCCAGCAGGATGAGGCCAAGCACAGGGAAAAAAAACAGGTCCTGGGCATCATCCACACTGCTGCTGGGGACAGGGCACCTGGCAGGGCGGCCCAGGCTGAGCCACCACTGAAGTTGTGCTCAGACCTCAGCTGGAGCCCGAGGGATGCTCCGGTCCCTGACGTTATCAGGCTTTGGCTCCGGCAACCAGGTTTCTGCTTGCAACCCCGAGCAACAAGATGAACAAAAACCATCCCAGAGACACCTCCAAAGCCACCTCCGAAGGGACACCTTGGTCCCCATCCCACCAGAAGCTGCTCTGGGCGCTGCGCAGGCGCTGGCTCTGTGGGCAGAGCTGGCCTGAGCGCCCTTTTCTGCGAGCAGCGCGCTTTTGGCACTCTCTCATTTTATTTCTCCGGGGCTCGATAGCATCTCTTATTCAAACTGACAGCTCTTTCAGCCCAAATAAAACCAAGCTAACAGCCATGTATTCAGACACGTGTGAGCCCAGAGCCGAGCCCAGCCCCGAAAACCATCACCGCCTGGGCTGGAGGAGCAGCACCCCGGGCTCAGCACCCTGCACAGGCGTTGAACCCGCAGCGAGGAGCGAGGGCAGCTGTGAACCTGCCTCCCACCCCCGTCCGCAGCTGTACTCACCCTCTTCTCTCTTTGGTGGGCTCTCGACCAGCACCGGCTGCGGTTTTGGCTCTGCCTGGGGCGGCTGCGGGGCTGGGGCAGGCTCCAACCCCTCCACCTGCCGCGCCGGCGGGGCCGGGAGCTCGGTGGCCTTGGCTACCTGGATTTCCACTCGCTTGGTGGCCACGTCGGGCAGGGCGGTGTTGGCCAGCTCGGCTCGGCGCTGGGGCATCTCGGGGATCTTTGAGGCCGGCGCCTCCGCCCTGCGGAGCCCGGGCTCCTGGGGCTTGCCGAGCGTGATCTCAGTCCTCCGCGGGGTGGGCTCCGGGGGTTTGTGCCCCAGCACATCTGCTCGTTTGAGGCCGAACCTCGACAAGGCCGAGGTGGAGTTCTCCACCTGCTTGGACGAGATGTCAATGGAGATTTCTGTTCTTCTGGACACCGGCTCGGGCAGTTTGGGTCCGGAGAGCTCCACTCTCCTCAGAGAGGACTTGGGGGATCGCTGGCCCGTGGGGTCTGCATGCCGGGCAGGCGGCTCCGAGTTCCTGGCACCGAGTTCCTGAAACTTCTGCGTGGAGCTGGACACCGTGGACCTGAGGAGGGGGTTCGGGGTCCGTCTCTGTGGGGTGGAGGAATTTGAAGATTGATCTACCTCCTCGACCTCAAAAGATCTTTTCAGAGCTGAAAGACATTAAGGGGAAGGCAGAATTTAGTTACCAGCCATCAGCACACCTCAAGGGACACTTACAGGAACTGTCTGAGAGTCGTGGCCCTATTGCTGCCACGCGAGGATTCACCGCCCCATTGACTGCCTCCGGGGACTGAGGGCCAGGCTTGGCCTCTTCAGAGAAGCTCCAGACCCAGAGACAAAGCTGGCACTTGGACCAGGAAATTCAACCCCAGAAGCATAACCCGGAGTGCCAGCGTCCCCTACACTGCCCCCCAGCCCACCCGGCCCCGCTCCCCACCACGGCACAGCCCCGGGCCCGGCGGCCCCGCTCCAAGTCTTTTCCTTTGCCTCTCGCGCCCAGAGGATGCGCAGATAAACACCGGCTTCCCGGTGACCCCTGCCAGCAAAATCCTCGTCCGGAACGTGCAAACAATCTCCGAAGAGCCCTGAACCCAAATAACGCAGCTACAAAAACAAAGGTGGTAGCCCCAGGAGCGCACATCCTTAAAAACAAGCCCAGAGACCGTCGGAGCCAAAGGCTGCAGTGCTTCACAAACAACAGCACGAGACCCCCAGTGCAGGAAGGGGCAAACCAGGAGGTGTGAGGGACATCCAAAATCTAAACAGCATCACCCCCGTTTTAACCAACAGGGAAATTAAGAGGTGAGAGAGAGAGAGAGATTGAGAGATGTAACACCAGTGAGCGGTGAGATTTAAGAGCCGATTTCCCACCTAACACGTCCAGAGGCAGCACAGCCCCACTTTCAGCACCAGGCAGGCTCTGACACCGCTCCCACCACCACCCGAGCCACGTGCTGCCCTGATGTGGATGCCCAGGTTGCAGGCGGCACAGACACCCGCCTTTCAAAGAAAAAGAAATCGCCTTTAAAATCCACCCCGAGATCCCCCGGGATGCCAGGGATGGGGGGAGAGCCTCGCATGTGGCTTTCCCTCACCCCTTGCTGTCCGGCCCCCCCTGGTCCCCCCTTGTCCTGCAGCACCCTGGAGGTGTCTGTGCGCTGCGGAGCAGCCCCGGCCTGGGCCATGGGAGGCGGCTGCCGGCTGCGAGCAGGGGCAGGGAAGCGTCCACGTGGCAGCCGCTCGGCTCCGCTCTGCCAGCAGATCGCAATCACAGCTGCTGACACGCACGGCTCTGGGCTGTTCTCCTTTTAGGGGGAATACCCAAAGAACTGGGAAATACGAACACCAGGCTTTAAAATCCATGCTGGCTGGGGGCAGGAGCCTCCCCGGGATGCTTGGTGTGAGTGACCCCGCAAACGCGGCTCCCGGGAGCCCTCCACGCCCAGCAGCAAGCACAAAGAGACATACAGACGTGGGCAAACATCTCAGTCCCTCCTCTGCAGCCCGAAATCCCACATGGGAAATGCTGGAAAGCAACAGCATGCATGGGACGGGCTCCTGCCCCACGTGCAGAGAGGCTGCCCAAGCCTGGAAACCCTGCGGTGCCGTTTGGGTACGGCATCCGAGCTGCTCGTTTGTGCCCCCCGGTAATGAACAGCAATGACAGGAGGAGCCCCGGGGGGGCCAACTAGCAGTGATAAACCCTGCACCGCAAAATATCCAGGGGCAGAGGGCAGGAGGCAAAGCAGAGGACGGGGAATTGTCCTGCCCCACGGAGAGGGGCCGTTCCCCGCGGCACAGCCAGAGCCACGCGGGGGCTGCCACCTGCGGAGCCACCGCACCTGCAGGGAGGAAATGGGGAAGCTGGCAAGGAAACTTGCGTTTTCCTCCATTTTATCTGCTCTGTTTCCTGAATCCCCGAAAAGGCTGCATGGCAGGCCCGGCAGAGCTGCATCCGACCCCATTACCAGCACCCAAGAACAAGCGACCGATTCACAGCAGCCCCAGCCTGGGAGCTGCTCTGACGGGTCCAAAGCTCTCCAAAACCGAGCGGGAGCGCAGACATCACCACTCCCACTCCCCATCACGTCCCCTATTCACATTTCAGCCCCCTGCCCCAAACCCCAGGTTTCAAACACTGCAGAGAAGCCCAGGCTGCACTTTGCAGGGAGCCAACGGAGCAGTAGGGAAGTCCCGAGAGCAGCCCCTCCTGTCCCCAGGCAGAGCCACGCGGGGAAGGGGACACGGGCACAGGACATAGCCACGAGCTGCCAGCTCCCTGATGGATGGGATCAGGGTTTTGTCCACATCAGGCTTTTGGAACCTGCTCGCCACTCCTCCTGCCAGCAAACTCGGTCGCGTTTTATTCCCTTCAACAAAGCAGCCTGACAGGCTGGCGACAGACATGTCTGGAGGAGCTGACGCCTGAAGCAAATGCTCTCAAGGAACCTGATAGCGAAGGAAATGCTGGCGAGTTTCTCCCCTTTGTGAACGTCCCTCTGGAAATGTCTCTGCACCCAGCAGCTCGGGGATTTCCTCCTGAGCTGGCAGCGAGTTTTGGGTACGAAGAGCCCCGCTGACCTCCGGGGTTTGTGGTGTGAGCCTCCCATCATCCCAGCTCCCTTCAGCCCTCGTGGGATTTGCCAGCGCCAAAAGAAACGAGGGCAGCAGCGACCTGGTGGTGAGGAACGCGGTGGCACTGCAGGAGCCGCTGCCTGCAGCCCTTCCTGCTGACCCCAAGCCTCTCCAAGCGCCCTAAGCCCGGGGCAAACCCGCACCCGCAGCACGGCCCCTGGAGCGCTGCCACCCCCTGTCCTTATCTCAGGGCTGGCCTGGGTACAACACCCACAAATGGCTTTTCTCCAGGTCTTTCTGGGCAAAATAAATGAGGAAAAGGTCAAAGCCCAGACACAAAGGGGGGTCCCAAAGTCTGAGGAAGAGCTGCAAAGCCGTGATTAGGGGCACAAAGGACTGGACCCAGCCAAAGATCGCTGCCCATGCCCATGCTGCGCCCACGAGCAGCAGTGAGGGGGTCTCCAGGGGGGTCCTCAGGGATGTCACCTCCGGTGACGCTGGTCCCCAGCACGGCCGGAGCTGCCCTGCACAGCATCACCACGCTCCTGATCCTCGAGCAGAAAAGAGAAAGAGCTTGGGAAGCAAAACAACGGCCAAAAAAATTAAAAAAAAAAAAAAAAGGAGAAAAGCTTAAAAATAGCCTGTCCTGTCCAGAGCCAAGAAAGGAAAGCAAACAGCCTCTGCTCCGCAGGACCCTCCCCCGGCTTCCTGCGGGGAAGCTGGCGTATTAATTAAAACAACAGGAGCCCGAGGCCCTGCTGGCAGCCGTGGGCAGTGCCCGGGGTCCCTGCAGGCTCCAGGGCCACGTCCCTGATGTCCCAGGCTGAGCAGGGAGCGGGACGGCCCCGCTGTGGGGTTATATCCCCGCTGTGACGTTTTCCTGGGGCTGTTTGGTGTTAGCAGGGCTTCCCCTGCCCCGGCAGCAGCATCCCTCCCGCTGGGGGTGGTGGCGGAGCGTCGCCCTTCCTCCTCTGCCCTTCCTCCTCTTCCTCTCGAGGTGCCTGCGCCGCGGGGCGTGAGCGCCAAGCGGGGTTGTCATCTACACGCCTTTCCTTTTAACTGATTCCGACCCAATTCGGGCAGCCACTGCTTCAATCCGTGCTGCGGGAAGGCAGTGGCTCCCATCCCATAGCACAACAAGCTGGAAATCCCCTAAAGCCGGGTTCCCAAGTGCTCCCTTTTGGTGCCAACCCAACCCGGGCAGCACCACCCTTGGCCCCTCGTGCCTGTGCTGCGGATCTCTTGCTCGGCCCCTTCCCAAAGCCCTGCAGGCAGGGACAGCCGGGCAGCCCCCGCATTAATCCTGGCACGTGGGGCTGTGCGTGGCAGCACCTGCTGCCTGCTGCCTGCACACAACTGCGGCTCCTGCCAGCCCCCGGCCTCGACCCCCCGGCTTGGCAGCCCGGCTGGAGCAAATGCCAGCGCGCGCGGGGGCCGTCACCGCTCTGGGAAGTAATTTTATCCTCCAAAAATGTTTTGACACATGGAAGAAAGCAAATCTGCACTTCAAGTTTCACAATTTCCTTCTGCTGCCGATGCTTTCCCCCCTGCTTCAAGCCCCGGTCTGGAAACGCCGCTTCCCCCCTGCGCCCCTCCTGGCACGGCCGCATCCCGTCCTGGTGCCTCCATCCCCTCTGCCCTGCCTCTGCCACCCAGGGGGCTCGAGCCAAGTGGCTGCAATGCCCGTGGGCTGCTCCCCGCCAGCCTGGTGCTGGGGGCAAGACACACACGCCTTCATCCCGGGCTCGAGCACTGCCAGAGAAGCAGCAAAACGCTCGTGCCCCCGGCTGCTGCGTGCTGGGGATGCTCGCACAGTGCGGCTGCTGCGCCCTCATGGTTGTGTAAAGGTCAGGCCCCAGTGGGTCCTGGTGGTGGTTAAAGCTGCTCTTTGGGGGATCCTGCAAACTGGGAAGAGGGGGCAGAGGTCTGGTTCAGATCCCAGAAGCACGTACAACAACAGCCAAGTTTCCAGAGAAACCACAGCCAAGCAGTGCTGGGGGCTGGGGGTCGCGTCTCATCGCTCCCCTCCCTGCAGTCCAGTTCCCCACCACGTCCCAAGCCCTGGGATCGAGGCAAAGGCACCCCAGGGACACGGAGGGCTCGGAGGCTCCTGCCCCAAGGCCCCAAGCATCCCTGTGGGTGCTGGGAACCGGGGGCGCTGCGGCTCGCCCTGCCTCGGGCAGCACGTGGGAAGGGGCTGTCAGCGCAGCAACATCTGCTCCTTCTTTCTTTCCTTTTCCTTTTCAACACAACACCCCAAGTAACAGCCGAGGGGATGCTTTACACAAGGAAACCTCTATGCCCAGAGCTCCGGAGGAGACCAAAATAAACAGCGAGGGACGCTGGCTCCTCCCGGACCTGCGCTAGCTGCTTTGCAACTCGAGCCCCGGGCTGTGCCGCGGTGCTGAGCTGCTTCCCATTAAACATCCTCTGCCCCTCGCGTGGTTTCTGTAACCCAGGGGTTACGTTTGCTTGCTTGCTTAAGCACTGAAAGCTTTCCTTGCGCTTTCAGACACATAAGAGCCTTATGGGAACGGGGCAGCCAGTCGCCCCGGTGTTTCACACGATACAATGG